AGCAGGCTATGAGACAAATACAAGGGAGAACTTAAGGAGACACCGGGGAGAAGATCCCCTTTTATGACTGGCTTATGCTTCTAAGTGGTGGTGATATTATTTACCATCATAGGGGGAAACAGAGGCATTGCTTTGAAAGAGTGAGAAATACGAGCTCAGTACAGGACAAGTATAATTTGAAGGGCAAGAGTCCTAACAGATATGAACAGGAGACACCTGGGAAAGTGGGTCTGATATCTGGAACACCAGTTGGGTCTAGAGATCTGAGTTTGGTCTAGAGATCTGAGTTTGGTGAGCAGAACATAACAAATAGCTGAAGGGGGAAAAAAAAGAAAAAGAAAAAGAAAAAGAAAACCTATATAACAATAGTGAATCTTTCCTACCTTCTTTGAGCCTTTTTATCCTCACCTCTTCCCCCTTGTTAATTCAAAAAAACTTTCCTAGACATTGTATTCAGTCTTCTCTTGTCTTCGGTTTCTTTATTGTGATATTTTATGATGTTCTTTTAACGTTTTTGCTTTGGGTGTTTCTTCAATAGGAAATTGGCTAGAAACACATAAAGCCATAAACTCTACCACCCTGCTCACCTTGTGTCAGGCTGCATCCTGAAAGCATTTTCTTTTACCACATCCCACTCATCCTTCAGGCCACTGCTAATGTTCAGCCTACTGCTGGAATACAACATGGCAATAAGTGAAAAGAGATGAACAAATGTTCCATTGTCACCTGGCATATTCAGTAACTAACTAACTAAATAAATAAATAAAATAAAAAATGCTGTGAACAGACAAGTGTGTTCTGTGCAGTCTATCCAACTGCAAGCTGCATCGGACACTTTGGTGAGCCTGGAACCAAGAGAATGGGAGCTGGAGATCTTTCTGTCCTTTCTGTCCACCAGACCTCACGAGATGAATGAGTTAATCGGTGCAAATTGAACGGGCATGAATGTCAACGTCACTTTCAGGCTGAAATTTGAAAGAGGGGGAAGCTTTTAGCTACCCAAAGGACAATGTGGAAAATAAAGTATCTGTTCAGTTATAAAAATTTACTGTATCAAGAGGAAAAATAAGACAAAGTTCTGAGGACTCAGGGGAAAGATCATTTTTCTCAGGAAAAAAATCCTAGAAGTCCTCCAAAAGACACAGAGGATGTGGTTTCTATGAAATAGAAGCCAGAAAACCAAGGGAAAAATGGGCTACAATAAAGGAGGAGACTGGAAGAGAGTTGGTTAAAATAAAGAATAGATGTAAGAGAATAAGAAAATTAAGACCAGAGTTTCACTTACTGTTGGGATAAAGATGGTTACATCATTCCTGCAGCAACTACAGAAAATATTAAATAAATGAAGGAAAAATCATACTTTCATTTGAAGCCACTGGAGAGCTGTGGATACAAAAAGCCCAAATGAACTAAATTCCAGAGTGAGGCTTTCTTAGAGGAACAGAGGTGGCAGCTGCTTTCATCCCAGAGGCATGCCTTCTGCCTCAGGGACAGGTGGGCTAAGCAGTGAGCTACTGTGGATGAAGGTACTGGCTGGGTCCAGGGTAACCTAGGTGAGCTCCTGACATGAGTATCAGCTGGTATGGCTGACTGGAATCTGGAGAAGCCCCAGGCAGCAAGGTTGTGCTACTCACTAGTTTTACCTCACCATACTTCTATTGAGTGAGCAGTGAAGAGGGTGGACTTGAAGTGAAAGGACAGGGAAGATGTAAGAGTTTTTTAGATCTCAAAGCCTTGGCATTTTTTTTTTTTTTAGAGGTTTTTGCTATAGGGCGTGTGCGCTCGCCAGACAGACAGAGACAGAGAAACAGAAAGCGAGAAATCACCCCCCAGGGGGGATGGTCACGCCGCAATCCCTTCTCCTCCCTTCTCCTCTTGGGATCTTGGGCACGCACGCACACGCGCCCGGCGTGAGTTTTAAGCCACCGGATCCAGGACATGAACCGCGGTTGACTATGTGGGAGTCCAGAGACATAGCCATTACGCTAACTGCTGGTCCCAGCCTTGGCATTTAAAACAAGAGGTAGACTGAAATGGACTAAAGTGGCAATCTAACCCCAGCCCAACTCGATGATTACTGATTAGATAGAAGAGATTAAATTCTGAAAACTAATTGAAGGGGAAAGGGTAAATCTTTTCTAGGAGTTAATATTATCTACTTCTGTTTTAAAAATAAAATACATATATATACACACATAAAATTTTGAGCATGCAATAAAAAATTACCAGGCAGGCAAAGAAGCAAGGTGTAATACAATAGAAATCATCCAAACTAAGGAAGACCAAGAAGAAAAGTATATAAAAAAATAGAGCCTCACATATTAGTGAGATAATACCACAGTATGAAAAAAAAGTAGCTGAAATCATAGAAAGGGGAAAGAGAGATACAGAGACAGTGACAAAAGGAGAAATAAGGGGACAAAATGAAATATTTAAAAAGAAAATAGCTGAGAATTTGCCACTATTGATGAACTTGATCAAGACTTAGGTATGAAAAACTTGGTAAAATTTCAAGTAGTATGAATCACATAAATGCACACCTAAACATCAGATAGTCAAATTTCTACAAGCCAAGAGTTGTAGAAAATATTGAAAGTAGCCAGAAAACACACACACACACACACACACACACTCTTCAGGCTCTGATAGATATTTCGGTGACGTCTACCAAATAATTAAAATAAAAATAACACTAATTGTATAGAAACTTTTCCAGAAAATCCTTTCTGATCCACCATCTGTGGTGGGACTGCCACCAAGATGCAGATTTTCATAAAAACCCTCACAGGGAAGACCATCGCCCTCGAGGTTGAACCCTTGGATGCAATAGAAAATGTAAAAGCCAAAATCCAGGATAAGGAAGGAATTCTTCCTGGTCAGCAAAGACTGGTTTTTGCTGGCAAACAGTGGAAGATGGGCGTACTTTGTCTGACTACAACTTCCAAAAGGAGTTCACTCTTCATCTTGTGTTGAGACTTCGTGGTGGTGCTGAAAAAAGAAAGAAGTCGTCTTACACCACTCCCAAGAAGGATAAGCATAAGAGAAAGAAGGTTAAGCTGGCTGTCCTGAAATACTATAAGGTGGTTAAAATGGCAAAACTAGCCGCCTTTGTCGGGAGTGCCCTTCAGACGAATGTGGTGCTGAGGTTTCTGTGGCCAGCCATTTTGACAGACATTATTGTGGCAAATGTTGTCTGACTGACTGTTGCAACAAACCAGAAGACAAGGAATTGTTTATTAATAAAAGAAATGAACTAACCTTTTTAAAAAAATAAAAACAAAACTTTTCCAGAAAGTAGAAGAGATGCGAATACTTCCTAACTCATGCTGTAAGGCCAGCATTATCCTGCTATGACCCCAGTAAAAGACATTGTAAGAAAACTACATACCAATATCCCTCATGAACAAAGATGAGGAAATTCTTAATAAAACTTTAGAAACAGCATGTAAAAATGATAATATAACTATGTGGGGTTTATCTCTAGTCTGAAGGCTTGGCATAACATTTGAAAAATCAGTCTATTCAGTTCACCATATTAACAGACTAAAATAAATCAGTATGTATTTATCTTAATAGATGCACAAGATGCATTTGGGAAAAAAAATGTATCCACCCATGATGAAAACTCCAGAAATCTAGAAGTAAAAGAGAATTTTCTCATTCTAATAAAGGATATCTCCAAATCCTACAGAAAAACATTATACTTAAGGGAGAAAGGCTGAACCCTTTTCTCCTGAAATTTGAAAAAGGTGAGAATTTCCACTCTCACCTCTTCTTTTCAATTCTTTAATGGAGGTGGTATCCAGTTCTTTTTAAAAAATTATTATTTATTATTATTTATACATTTATGCATCATTTAGATTATAAAGAGATTTTACCCAACATGATATATGCCACACACCAGGCAAGTTGAGAATACTATACACGACATCATCAACAGGCAACAAACTATATCTGTGTCCCACAAATGTCTTACTTCTCCATTTTTTCCCCAAATTTCCCTTCCTGCACTCTTCCCCTCTCCCACTCTCCTTCCACTTTGCCCCCAGCATCTATAACATTTTTAATAATTATTTTTATTTAACCTTTTTTATTTATTTGCTTATTTTAGAATGACAGAGTGAGAGAGAGAGAGAGAGAGTGTGTGTGTGTGAGAGAGAGGGAAAGTGAGAAAGTAAGCTGCCAGGTCCAGGACTCAAACTGTGGTCAGCCATGTGAAAGTCCAGCACTCTTTTTTTTTCTTTTTTGTTGGAGAGGTTTTTGCTATAGGGCGCATGTGCTCGCCAGACAGACGGAGAGAGACAGAGAGATAGAAAGCGAGAAATCACCCCCCAGAAGGGATGGCCACTCCACAATCCCTTCATTCTCCTCTTGGGATCTTGGGCACGCACGCACATGCACCCGGCGTGAGTTTAAGCCAGCAGGTCCAGGACTCGAACCATGGTCAACTATGTGGGAGTCCAGCAACATAGCCATTACGCTAACTGCTGGTCCCGGGAGTCCAGCACTCAACCACCATTTCACCTGCCAGCCCCTTCCATAACAGTTTTTAATGTTTTTATGTCCTCCAGTCTTTCGGTCTCTACCATAGAATGTAGACAGTTGGCATATGTTAAGCGGAGACATACAATGTCTCTGTTTCATAGCCTGACTTGCTTCACTCAGCAATAAATCTTTCATGTTCACCTACTTTCTATCAAATGCCAGAGTCTTGTTTTTTTTATGGCTTTATAGTATCCAGTTCCATAAAAGAAGAAAAAAATTAAAAGCCATAGAGCTGGAAAGGAAGATGTAAAAACACTCACAAATTACATGATCATCTATGTAAAAAATCATAAGAAAGTTTGCATGTTACAAATTCACTTTAAAAATCAGTTTTATCACACATACTATAACATAAAAACAGAAATGGAAATAAAATTACTATTTACAATAGCATCAAAAATATGAAATACTGGTGCAGGAGGCGGCCGTGACCTACCACAGGGGTGGGTGTGTACCTGGGCTGCTGTGCTGCACTCAAGTGAGCATGCTCTGTGTGACCTCCACTCCTGCGTGGCTCAGTGGTAGGTGCTCACCAAGACCATGGCTTCGACTGTGCTTGAGCTACAGAAAGATCTAGAAGAAGTAAAGGTGTTATTGAAGAGGCCACCAGGAAAAGAGTATGTGATACCCTTACAGCTGAAAAATCCAAAATTGAGACAGAAATCAAGAATAAGATGCAAGGGACCAGCAGTTAGCGTAATGGCTATGTCGCTGGACTCCCATGTAGTCAACCGCGGTTCGCATCCCGGACCCGGTGGCTTAAACTCACGCTGGGCGCGTGTGTGTGCGTGCCCAAGATCCCGAGAGGAGAATGGAGGAGAAGGAATTGCGGCATGGCCATCCCCCCTAGGGGGTGATTTCTCACTTTCTGTCTCTATGTCTCTGTCTGTCTGGCGAGCGCACGCACCCTGTAGCAAAAACCTCTCCAAAAAAAAAATTGATTGCCAAATGTTTCTTCTCCATACTCCCACCTCTAATCTGGCTCACAAGTATTGTTGTTTTTTTTTTTTTTCCTTTCATTTTCATCTTTACTTCTGTATATAAAGAGTTCTACTACACCATGTTATCCTCCTTCACAGGGTAGCATTTGGTCCCCTTTTCCAAAAGCCATAATGGTGGTTGCAAAGAAACATAGTCATGAGTGATTGAAAATGAAAATGGTATCAGTTTAGCAGTTTCAAAATATGTTCACTATGAAAAAGAATGTATAATAACACAGAAAGGGTTGACTTGAAAAGGATTAAACTCTTCGTTTCTGAAAGTATTCAGGAGAGACTAGACTGCCTCTATACAGCACTTATTCACAGAACATTTACCATGAATCAGACATTGGAAATACAGCATTAAATATGATCTCTGACCTTATGAGTCTTAGGACACTGGGAATTTTTGAACAGGGTAACCCCAGAGTTCTCTTCTGGAGGTCTATAAATCTGATTCCAGTAAAACAACCAACCTACTAAACAAACGAAACCTTTTTTTCTTAAAATAAGGCAAATGCTTCTTCTGTGCCCCCTTTGTCTGGGGCTTGACAATGGTAGACTGAGTGCCAAAGAAAATTAAAACAAAACAAAACAAAACAAGAAACCCTCAACACCTAGCCTAAAACAACACTAGCCTAAAACAAAAGAATTTGCTGTCCCCCTCATTAATCAAATCCATCTTATACGGGAGAGCTCTTGTGGGTCTCTGCCAGTGGGAAATGTCAAACACATGGTCTCGGGCCATCCTTATTCTAGGGAAAGACTAAGTCAGACAATGAAAACCCATTTTTAGGGACGTTCACCTTTGGGTTTTGTCACCTTCCCCTCCTCTGTCTACTTCTTCAGGGGTGCTCTGCTTCAGGAAAGTGAGGCAGCTGTGAGCCAACCCAAGCTAGCATGAACAGATAGCCTGGCATTCTGGGAATGCTCTAGGCATTCTTCACAGAACTACCACAGTAGTGAGGGACTATTCCAGGGAAACAGGAGTCATTCCTAGATTCATTGTTTGGGCATACTAGGCCAGCAAAGAGGCATCTGTCCCTGAGAGCAGACTTGCTGGAGTCAGGGTGGAGGGGACAGCTGGCTTTGCCTGCAAGCTAATCAGTTTGATTTTCCTCGCATTTTTGGGTATGATCCAAACTGCTCCTTCCAAAAGACACACCTCGGGTCTGTGGGCTGATGTCCAGTCCTGGCTCTATTATCAGACTCTGGAAGCAGGCTTGAAGTGTTTCTGCAAAAGAAGTGATCCCACTAACATCCATATCTTTGTTTAGGCTTTTTCTTCTTCCTGTTTTTTTTCTGCTCTCTCTCTGGTTGAATTCCTTCTTTTCTTTCTAAGGTTATCTCAAATACTGTTGCTTCCATGAAGCCTTCTTGGATTCCATCAGCTCCACATAATTGCTCTTTTCATAGTGTTCCAAGGTTTAAATTAATAGCAAAATTTACTACAGCAATTCATACATACCTAACCTTTTAAAATTAAATTCCAAGTGTCTGTGGACTCAGATCATATCCTATTCTTTTTTCTATTTCATCTTGCCTCTAAATCTCTACACTTTTCCCCAATAACCTGCATTTGCACATGACAGGATTAATACAATTTTGTGGGAATAGAGTTGAGAAAACAGCCCTTACACTAATCGGGGTAATAGTCAAAACCTTCCCATTCCTCCAAAGACCATAGTCAGAGGTCTGCAATGGCCTTTTGGTCCCAAGACTCTAAAAGATTAGGCAATTAAACTAACACTAAGAGATGCTTACTTTATCGAGAGTTATTGGGCAATAAGCAGTTCCTCCTAAGTAAAATTTCCAGATCAGTGGAGCTTACTTACTAGAATTTAACATTAAAACAAAACAAAGCAAAACAAACAAACAAAACATTTACAAAACACATTTCCTAAAGATATTTAGGATATCCCTGGAAAAGGGCAAAGTGTGTCTCCCTCCCAGTGGATGGCCACCACAATCCCTTCTCCTCCATTATCCTCTCAGGATTTGCGGCATGCACACATACACACCAGGCATAAGTTTCAAGCCTTTGGTCCAGGACTGGAACCATGGTGAACCATGTGTGAGTCCAGTACCTTAACCATTACACCACCTGCTGGTCTTCCAAGGGCTTCAATTTAAGGCTTACTCCTGAATAGCATGATTCCAACAAAAGATGTTAAAGTTATACAGAGCTATTTGCTCCTGTGCTAAATAGCTCCAGCATTGCTAAGCTCCAAGAGATTTGGGGTATTGTTTACTTTTGAGGTTTTCTGTCTCTTCCCTGGAAGCTATCGCTCTGATTACCAGAGTGACTGCCAATAACATCATAGCCCACTTCTGATTTACCTCTTTTGTTCTGATGTTTTTTGACAGGAAAATAACTTCAGATGATAAATAGAACTCATTAAGTAGAGATAAGAAAATTCCAGGAGTTAAAAAAAAAAAAAAAAGCTACCAGCTATGTGGGCTATGGTTTCACTAGAGTGGATAGGAATGAATGACATTCTAATATACCACCAGATTTACTTCTCTCTGACTCAAAATTATATGGTGTTGAACCTTCTACTCTAAGGCCTTTGCTCTAAGCAGGCCTGATAGTCACCAATGTCATTACCTGGTTACCAGAGTGCTGCTAGAGGCAATGCCTCTGAAAACTAGAGCTCACCCTGACCCTGCTCTCCATGTAAGACCCAAAACTACTGGATAACCGAGGGCAAGAATGCGCACAGTATGGAAGGCTGCCGTCATTCAATATGGGAGCTTCATGAGGATTTTTCTGGCTTCTCTATAGCTTTTCTGCTTATTTCTATGTGTTGTTGTTACTGGTTTTGGGTTTGTTGTTGTTGTTATATTTTAGATACCTACTAAATAAAATAGCCTCTAGATAAGTATAGTTACTATTAATCTCATCATTACAATGATTCCTTTTTTTAAAATCTGGGTAAGATAAAAAAAAATTACAATAAAACCTGGATAATGAATGGGTGACGTGATTTAAGCAAAAACAGCTTCAAATTCACGTAAAGCTGCACCTACATTGATGTCAAATTTGCCACCAGGGTGAAGCCTTGAACATCACCATCCTGGGGTTAAGTATAAAAATTTGAAAAATGATCAGAGAATTAAAAAGGGAGTTGAAGCACAAGGGCAGAGAATGAGAAGATGCCATAACTATGGTGCTAATGTTCAAAAAGAAAACTAATTGTGGAAATTACTGGCCAGTAAATTGGATAGTCATGGTAATAAAACAGATGTTAACAGTGAAAATTCATCAGCATCTGGAAAGGATAAAGTCACAAAAGATTTATGGAAAGGAGTGAGTTCAAGAGACTCGGCAGAGGAGAAAAAATAGTGAGGCCAGGTCTTTAGTGAAAGATTTGGAACTTGGGTGACGGGTTTTCTCAGCCTGCCACGCCATTTCTACTCTCAGGCCAACTTCGAGGGCCTTGGAAGACAACGTGGTCACATGGACTCAACAGCTGGCTGGGAGATCATAAATAAAGGATAATGATATAAGTACCCAGAAACAGCTCCAGTGAGGGGAGTGGGAGGCTGAGAAAGGGTCTCCCCAGAGAGCACTGTCAGGTCTGGTTTCAGTTAGTGTCTTTGCTAATGATTTGAAAGCAAGAACAAACAATTTTCTTGTCCAATGTCAAGAAAATGTGCAAGGCACATCAACCAAAGTCAAGGCACACACATCAACCAGCAAGGTTACCCAAACGTCTGAGGCTGTTAGGAAAGGGAACTAGAAATAGAGCAGCCTAGGAAAATGATCTTGAATTTAAAAGAAAAAAAAAAAGATCCCTCTTTAAGGCTGGGAGAGGATGGGGTGCTTGTAGGAACTAAGGGTGGCCAAAAACAGTCCCAGGGACTAGTGATGTTTAATAAAGTAGCGTGGGAATGAGGAAGCCCAACAGAACAGAGGGCCATTTTGAGGTTTGTAAATGTGTGGCTTCAACAGACGTGAAGTGATAACTGACCCATTTATCCAGGGCTGGAGGAGGAAGAAAGAGGAACGGGAGTGTGAAGACAGGACTCCAGACATTTATCCAAAACCTTCAGGCCCTAAGGCTACACATATATGCACTTAGAGGTCAGACTTCTAGAATGTTTGAAGTCCTATCACCTAGCACAAGGTCACACAGTAAATGGCCACTGGCAGTGGGACCAATGCAGGAAGCCATGTTGAATTCTTAATCTGTGGTCACCGAATGAAAGCAAGGTGAGGGATGCAGCTAAGCGCCCTTCCAGTCTTGAAATGTGAAGACTGTATGATTTAAAGAAAATGATCCAGGAGCTGCTAGGTGTTTGAGCAGCGATGACTATGCCAGCTTCTGCTCAGAGGATTGGCCTGCCCCATCCCTAACAGTGAAAATGGAGCTATGGGGCATTCACCATGCCCCCTGGGTCTGCAATGTGTGTTCCTGACATGAGTCGACGACTGGTCACTTATAACCAAATCTTACTTTCTTGTGTTCTGTACCTACCCTCATAATACTTAAGCTCTATCTAAGACCCAGCCTGGATTCATGAGTACTGTCTGTTTTCCTTGAGTTGGAAGCTCAGAGGAAAGGCCCAAGCCCCTAGTCCTGACAATACCCAGT